ACTTGCATGTAGCTGACAATTGCGAACACATTAACTCACTGAATCCTCATACTGTGAAATGTCAGCAGTAGTATTACTCCCACTTACAGTAGGCACTAATCAAGGCACTAATTAATTTGTTCAAGGTCTCACAACCAGAAAGTGACAGGACTAGGGTTCATACCAGGATTCTGACTTCGGGGCCTGGGATCTTACGCTCTTTGGTACATGGCACAGAATAAGAATAGAAAAGTTACAAAATAGCTGCCTGCGGATCCAGGTGTGGGAGTTGATGAGTGTGACTCAGACCTTTTTCCTGTTTCTCTTTAAAATTAGGCCCTGTTCCCGTCCCCCCAGAGAGCCACTGCTTGGAGTCATCAGCTCCCAAGCTTTGCTGTTCTCGGAGCACACCATATGCTCTCAGGGATCTGAATTCTAGTATGCAACTCCTACTAGAATCTTGCTTTTATTCACATAAAAGAGGTGATTCTTTCTAGTAGGAACTGTTACAGGAAGTAACTTGGTTCCCAGCCGATGGGCCTGGGGAGTGATCAGATCCTGAGGACTCTTAACATTTTCAGTAGATAGATCCCTTGATGGGACCCATTAGCATGGCCTTATTGGGAACTGGTGAAAGTCGGGAGTAGTAGGTCACTGCAGATGTTGCCTTTAGCATTATTGCTTGCCCTGGGCTTTCCCTGTATTCCTCTGTCCACTCTGCTCTGCCATACCCAGAGATGGACCAAGGCCTCAGAAGCTTTGGAATGTGCTCCTTTGAGTTTTTCTCTCTGGTGTCTAGTCTCAGCAAGGAAAATTTGACTAATGAAGGAATGAACAGGATCTTGCTCCAAGGACTGACATGTATGGTTGTACTTGATCTTGCCAACAGTCAGTCCTGTGAGAGGAGATATGCCACCTCCTCATTACTCAAGCTCAACAGAGTCAAATATGTCTGAGTCCACCATTTCAAATGAAGGTATCTGGGATTATGGAGATTGTGATATTTTGATTCAACATAAAATAAAACCATGGAAGAGCATTGAAATAATCAGGAAGAAAGCCTCATGCTAGGATAGACACTTGGATGGGCATTAATAATGCCAATGTTTGAGTCATCTCAAACTTACCCGGCTGGGATCTTCAGAAATACTAAGCTCTTGTAGTGTTGGCCATAGCATTTCTGTGGTTAATAACTGGTAGCCATAGATCCCATTGGGCTACCCAAATTTTATACATGACCAGTGGAGTTCTCTGAACCTCATCCTCCATTCAACAATAATACCCAAATCCTTGGCCTAGAGAGGCCAAGCTGGTGGCCTTCAGAACAGGGACTGTCCATGAGGGCTTGGCATGTCATTTTCTTCATTCTGGATGACTGACATTTGTTACATGCTAGAAATGTCTGAAAGGCATTTCCTTATAAACATTTGATATGACTCAGCTTCACAATTACCTCAGAGAATACCTTAGTTTCTCTAAAAGACTAGTTATGGTGTATTCATTTCAGTATGTTTCCGACTCAGAGTAGGTGGAATCTCAAAAACAAAAACAAAAAAATATCTGGTGAGGCAAACCATTTATTTGTTCCCAACAGTCAATGTTGATTTTGTGGTTCACTTCAAGGTAGATGCTGAAAGCCCCTGGCTGTGTGCTGAGTCATTCTTAATGACTCAAGCAGCAGTGAGCAGAGGCTTTGAACCTAAAAGAGTCAACCACATTGCCTCTTTCTGAGACAGCTCAGTGCAGGTGGTATATACCCTCCTATTTGTTACATTGCTATTTAAGAAGGATGCTTTTCACACAAGCCTACAGAAGGATGAGGGATTAGCCTACGTCTTTTTCTGTTGTTATAATAAAATACCACGAGAAAAGCAACTTGGTGGCAAAAGAGGTTTGTTTTAGCCCACAGTTCTGGGTTACGGTTTATCTTTGTGGGGAAACCAAGTCAGAGAGAATCGAAGCAGCTGGCCACGCCTACGGTCAAGGGCAGAGAAACAGTGAGCACATGCATGCCTAATCACACTCCAGATTGTCTTCTCCTATGTCAGAGTCTGAGACCCCAATCCATGGATTCGTGACACCCACTCTAAGCTGGGTCTTCCCACATTGACTAGCATCATCCCATGTTCACAGGCCAAGCTAATCTTGACAGTCACTTGAGGCCCTTTTCCAGGTGACTCTAATTTGTGCCAGACTGATGATTTAAACTAACCAACATGCCCACAATAACGGAGAAACGTCAGCTTACAGTGACCACCTTGCTTTCCATAGGTAATACCTCCCTGTGATTTCTGTAGGCTAGCTCCTCCTGGAGGCTAGCCTGTTTGCACCTTTAGCTCACCATATTGCTAGGTACCACATCCAAGGAGTCAATCAACCTCAGATTGAAAATTTTGGGAGAAAACTTGTGCTTGTACTGAATCAGTGTGGATTTTCTGTCATTATTCCCTAAACAATAAGGGAGAACGACCATTTACCTCACAATCCCATTGAACCCCATAGAGATAATTTAAGGTATTCAGGAGAGTTTGTATAGGTTACATGCAAAATTTATGCATTTTATAGAAAGCATATGTGTATCCATAGATTTAAGCATTTATGGAGTTCTGAGACAGATCCTCAACATATACCAAGGAACAATTGTATCTTTCTGGAAGGCAGATTTGGTTCTTGGTGTTCACTCTTGGTTTTTGTTTTATTTTGTTTTGGGGGGCTGGGTTTTTTTGGGGGGGTTATTTGTATTATTTGTTTTTTTGAGACAGGGTTTCTCTGTGTAGCCCTGGCTGTCCTGGAACTCACTCTATAGACCAGGCTGGCCTCAAACTCAGAAATCTGCCTGCCTCTGCCTCCCAAGTGCTAGGATTAAAGGCATGCACCACCACTGCCCAGCAATGTTCACTCTTGTATTAACGCTAAAAGAATATGTCATAACCTCTTTCTAATTCTTAGACATGTCTAGCAAATGGACATCAATAATGTGTGACTTCTCCAACACCAAACTGGAGTCCCTAATACTACTGCCAGTACCCCACCAGTGAAAGGGAGCGAGCCATGTCAGGGAGATCTTTCCAGCAAAGGACTTAAAGGCTAGAAGTCTGTGAGTGTCCTTACCATCCTTGAAGGAGATATTTCCATGGAGGTCAGGGTTAGAGTAGAGATGGAGGAAAATGGACTAAGTGCACTCACATTTTCTGAGTTGTACGGACTACACACAGTGTAGTATTTGCCTTCTCACACGGCTGAACAGCCATCACCACCATCTGTCTCCAGAATTCTCTTCATCTTGCAAACATGAACCACTGCATAGAGTTTCTAAAAAGCTCTCCATTCCTCATTCAGCCCAGCTCCAAATGTGACCATTCTATTTCTTTCTGTAGTTTCCTGACATTGAACCTCATGGCCAGAGTCCCACGGTAATTGCCCTTTTATCCCGCTATACACTGTGCATTTCACATAGCCTAGTATCCTCAAGGTAGACACTTTAGCATATTGTTGTAAAGCAAAGTTTCATGAAACCAACAATCAAGTCTAGACCTGGACAGTAGCTAGCACCCTTGTTCTGATCACAGCTTGCTGCTTCATCCACTAAAATAGAGACTGTTGGACTGGGGATGTGGTCTGTGACAGTGTATTTCCCTAGCATGCATGTTCATGACTTCTGAGTTAGATACGCAATGTACACACATATACATACATGCATACATACATACATACACACACAAACACATATATGAGAAAGAGAATCTAGTAGTAATAATTTTCTCTTTTTCTCATACTTTGAATACCTCCTAGCAAAATCATCCCAGGAAAAAAAAATGGAGTATGTAGTATAATATGAGTCACATATAAAACATCTTACAACGTTGCTAATCGGCATACTAAGTAGAAACAAACAAAATGTGAGTGTAGAGTAACCCTTTTAAGTTAGTGTAGCACAAATATAATCATTTTAACATCTAATAAATATGAAATTGTAATTTGGGTGTTTTACAGTCATACCAAGTCCCCAATATAGTAAATATTTAGCTAATATGGTTATTTAAATTTAAAGTCATTGAAATTAAATATAATTAAAAAGTCAGGGGCTGTAGACGTAGCTCAGCAGTTAATAGCACTAACTGTTCTTCCAGAGGACCTGGGTTCAATTCCCAGCAGCCACAAAGCAGCTCACAACTTAAGTTCCAGGGATCCAATGCCCTCTTCTGGCTTCCATAGGCACACATATGGTACACAGCCATACATGCAGGTAAAATACCCATACACATAAAAGTCTTAATTGAAGAACATCAGCTCCTCTCTGTAACCACACCCATTGCTCAGTCACTGTGCATGAGTAGTGACTGCTTTGCTGAACAACAATGCTGTAGAACTTTCCATCTATGCAGAAAGGTCAACAGAGAGAGTTGCTATTATTCCTCTGTGTGTAGCTTTCTTTGGGCATGGCTTGTGTTTACATAGTCAGTCCATTTTATTGTATGTAACTGTATCCATTCATTGTCATTACTAAATAGCATCCCACTTTATAAATTAGTAACATTTTTGTTAATTGTAAACAGTATTGCTAAGTACAATCTTATTTAGCCACCAGGATGTACATAGTATCAACTTCTTGCTGCTTCTTACTGGATGGATGTCTTCCTCTTTATTACATAATAGCTAATTCTTTTCTAGGTGTTTGCAATCATGTTCAAGTTCAGCATCTGCATCTGAAAGTTCATTTTGTGCCATTATAAATATGCTTTATTGCCTTGACCATGTGTGAAGCACATGGGGGAACATTCTCAACTTCCCACTTGGAGCCAGTAATTCACAGTCCCATTGTAGGTTTTCAAAGGATGTCAAATTCCAAACTGCAGCAATTTTTAAAGCAGATCCGTGCATCATGGGGAGGGTCTCTGTGTGCTGCACAGAAGTTCTGAAGCTGGGGACAGCCTCAGGGGTTGTCTTTATTAATATCTCTCTCTCTCTCTCTCTCTCTCTCTCTCTCTCTCTCTCTCTCTCTCTCTCTCTCTCTCTCTCAGATGACCACTCTCGGGTACGGCTGCAGATGCTGGAAGGGGACAACAATTCGGACTATATCAATGGCAATTACATCGATGTACGTATCTTAAAACAGTCAACACATCACAGACCTTTTGACACATGCCACACAGGAGATCTACTGTGGAGTTGGTAGATGTGTGCCAATGACCATCCACAGCAAGTGTCGCTACTCCCCACACTCCACAGAATGTGGTCACTGCAGTCTCAAGTCAACCCATTTGGGGAAAAACATCTTATTTCCTCCCTACACCCCCTTCGCCTACCCACACTATGTGGACTAAGAAAATGTTTTTATGTTTTTATCAACAACTTAAAATGTTTGCATATTAATGGGACAAAACCCTCTAATTGCTAATGCGGTGATTTGCAGGCTGCCGTCACCGCCATGCTTTTAAGTTGCCTTCAAAGTCATCCGCAGCTGTGCACCAGGACTTCCAAGGCAAGCGAGGCGTGTCATTAAAAATGCAAGCTGTTTAATTATTGAAGATGGCTGCCTTGTTCATCCTGCGTCATGTTAACTTAATGTCTTACATTAGGATAAATTCTTTAAGAGACAGCATGTTTTTAGCTGAAAGGATGAATGAAATCAGAAGCAGAAACCCAGGGTACTGTGCAGTGCCCTGCAAGGCTGGAGCCTCCTTGAACAGATCCAGCTTCCGTGTCCTTTCCAGGCATGTTACATTCTGGGTCTGGTTTTCAGTCCATTAGCACTACCAGGCATCCATCTTACCTACGTTCATGTTAGGCATCTCTGATCCCCAAATCCCAAATCTAGAAACCCCACAATAATCTCGTGACATTCTGCAGTCAAAGCTCAATATGCAGCTTAATGTCACCAGTGAGAAGGGCTTTGCCTGCACCTTCAGCCATAACATACCGACATTGTTTCATGCAGGGTCAAACAGCTATACAGATTTCCTTTAGGCCATGTGCATAAGCTATACATGAAACACAAGTGGCTTTTATGTTTTGGACCCCATTTCCAGAGTGTCTCATTAGATTCCTTCATATCCATCGTTAATCAAGAAAACATCCCCATAGACCTGCAAACAAGGCTGATCTTTTAGAGGCATTTTTTCAGTTGAGGTTCCACTTCTCAGATACATGTAGCTTCATGTCAAGTTGGCAAACCAGCCAGCACAGGATTTTAAGGGGATGTTCAGCTGATACGTGACTCAGATGAGGACTGAAAAGTGACTAAGGTGCTTAGTAACGTTGGCCATCCTGGAACAACATGGGCTAGCTCAGCTCTTGTCTCCTGGATACCGTCTAAGGTATTAGACTTGCAGAATAAGCAAGTTAAAGTTCCCTCCCTTGTGGGATTCACCACTAACAAACAAGTAACTCTCTAAAGAGTTCTATGGGATAGCGGTCACAATTCTGTCTTTTGAGATGCGAGCCAAATCAGTTATGTAAGAGAATCACTGTCTTTCTTCTTCATCACCTTTGACTGGAGAGCAAAAATAATTTAACAGATATTTAAAGTATCTGAGAAATCTGTGGGGTTTTCCTCCAATTTTTTTTTCTCTGTTTTCCAGTTATCTTTGTTGAACAGTATTTAGGATAATCTCTGGGGGAAAGAAATGTATTAAGGTCTACTTTGCTGCAGTATGTTACCGGGTGTAATTTTCTCTGAACTGACTTTTATCTTTCCCAGATAGTTCTCCGAAGGTGCCTTTGCCTCTTTGGCCCCAGTTTAATCTTTCCTGCTTCCTACAGGTTCATGATTAAAGGAACGGGTCTTACATAATCTCTCATGAGCAGTGTTTGAGAATAGCTCCGGGTGTTGCTATTGATAAAAATGTCTATATTGATAGAACAGAACATGCGTTAAGTCCTTGGCACATCGCCAGTAACATCCCAAACGCAAACAAGTTTCTATTGCAAATTCCCAGCCATCCACACCTTAATAAGAGGCTTGGTCGTTTCAGTTCAGAGAATCCATAAATTGATAGCATCTGCTGCTCATCCATCATCTCATGGCCAGGGTAGAATGACGTCGCTTTCACTTGCTGCATACTGTCCAGAAGGTTGTACTCAGTGGACCTTCACTTAGGAAAACAAACTCAAAGCTGCTGAATCCAAAAATTAAGCTATCAAATGACTAGTAACTAAGGTATTTAGTAACAGAGTAACAGGGGCCATCCTGAGATAGCATGAGCTAGCTCAGCTCATGAAGGCGTGTCCTTCCTGTCTCCTGGATACCTTCTAAAGTATTAGACTTGCAAAATACGTAAGTCAATGTTCTTGGCATTTGGACACACAGCCATTTCCACAGACCCAGCATATGACTTTTGTGCTGCCCGATGACTTTGAATTTATCTAATTTTTTTTTCACTTATCCTTAGGGCTATCATCGACCCAATCATTATATTGCAACCCAAGGTAAGTTCTTTTCATCTCTCTTACCTGTGTTTTGTTGCTCACCAGTCTCAGTCACTTCAAACGTATCACCCACACCCTCATGAAAGTATTTTATGTGCAATGTGTTGTGTGTCCTTAGCCATTGGCACACGCGCCCTTGTTTTCCCAGCAGAAGCTTGGTGTTACAGTCACTTATTCAGAACTACATATTGAAACCATAAAGAAAAGTACGTGCTCTCTGATTCATTAGTGAGTTCAATCCAAATAGTTTTGGAATTTGTCTAATATTTGCAAGAATATAGTCTATATTTCCCACGTGTATATGGAGAGAGATGGGAGAGGAGAATGCCCTTTAATAAGTAGCTGCTGACAACTGTCTATCCAGCGGTTGACTTTAGGGGGCAGCTGTGAGGTGGCCCACGTGTATCTGAGTAGGTGCAATGTACAGAAGTCAAGAGGCAAGAAGTGTTAACCAAATTGGGATCGGATAGAGGCTGTTCTAGTGAGGTGGTGCCAGATCAGCAGGAAGACGTGCAAACGATAAATGATTGTGATCCAGAGATGGCAACGATGTGTCCCTCAGTGTTTGACACTGATGCAAGACGTAAATCCCTCCTTACTCTGTATCCCCCAGTGGTTGGCACTGGCATAATTAATTGTGTGGGGAGGGGTTACTCAAAGCAGTGTAACCGCACGCTAATTTTATTCCCAAGAGATGATAATATGGATTTTCACCAAGTCTCTTTAATACACAGGACATATCACAAATGTACACTCTGAGTCGTCTCTCCCCTCATGCTTGCCCAGACCCGTCAGTATTGATTTTTTCCCACCAATATCAGACTTTGGCCTTAATGATAGTGGAAAGATTTCTGAAGACTGAACGGATCTAATTTAAACCAGATCTGTTGGTTTTCAGTATGTTACTCCTGTCCACCCTACTAAATCTTCTCTGTCCAAAAGGCAGTTGATCGATGGTCCTGTATGGGCATTATCTGCCTCTAAATGATACAGTCACACAGTGGTAACATGCCAGACTCATGACTCAGCAAGTTGGAGAACCATAGATAGAAAGTAGTCACTGTGGCTGCCCACTTAGAGTGAGGACAGGAGGGATTTCAACCTCCAGGCTCACAGCAATGGGTAGCTCATGGGAAGGGGTAGCTCAGATCTGATCATATTTCACAGTCACAGTGTGACCCATGGAGTGGGCAGCAGGTGGGATGAAGCCATCAAGGACCAACTACTCCTTCACTGCACTTGCGAGAGCTCCTACTGGCTTCCTGATGGGCAGCCAAGGGCATCTCTGTAAAACAGCTTTATTGTTTAGCTGCCTTTTAAAAATAGACCTTAGGAGAATCCTGCTTTAGCTTTTAGGGAAAGACAATGACAGAAAGCTTCTAAGTCTGCAAGTGGATTTCTGTTATGATGGGTGTGGTTTGTGAGCACTGTCCTGCCAGCCTTCTGCCTGAGATGCTCACCCTCTCTCTTTCTCTCTCTCTCTCCCCCTCGCTTTTTCCCTCTCTCTCTCTCACTGTCTCATTCTCTTTTTATGTGGTTCTGTTCTTAACTGACACATAATTGTGTCCACTTACGGGTGCAGCAGGACACTTCAGTATATATTTGCAATATGTAATGAGCAGGTCAGGATGATTGGTACATCTTAGACATTTTCCATTTGTGTTGGGAGCATTTTGAAGCCTTACTAGCTGGTCAGCGGTTGTTAATTGGCATCACAGTGTCATTTAGCTCGTGGAAGCTATTCTGCCAGAGTTGACACTGTAGCTTGGTAGTGGTGGCGGGGTGCTTGCCTGGATGTGTGGGAGCCTGAGTGTCATCTGTATTCCAGAAGCCACCCCTCCTGTGCAGCTGTGCCTCCTCACTCAGAACAAGCCATTTCCAGAGTGCACTCAAAGCCTTCCTTTCCGAAAGGGAGCTTGACCTTCTCAGGCCTGCACTACCTGCTCCTCCTCTGAATTCACGTAACTTATAAATAAATGCAGGATCCAGCACCTCCCTTCTAGCTAATAAGGCTTCTCACTACTACACAACATTGAAAGCAAGTTTTCTATGATATAATTTCTTAATTAATGTCTCTTAATTAAAATTCCCTTAAGCACCAACATTTTTACCATTGTCAGTTTAAAAAAAGTATTATTAAAATGAAGTCAAATTAATTTCAAGCTGAAAAGCATTAGAGATCTAATCTTTTATACTGTGAGCCATGGTCAGCTGGAGTCTGAGCTCTTGTTGGTTTCTTCTGGGAGTTTCTTGCTAGTGTGTTACACTTGTTCCCCAAAGTTTATGTGTGCTGACCTTCCCACAATTTTAGTATTTATGTTACAAATGACTCAATGACAAGAATATACATGAAGAGGTCCCAAGACTGCTGTTTATTTCCTTAAAATAAGCTGCTTTAGAGACACATACTATAGTCATAAGGTCTGGGTCCAAATCTAGTGCCATCACGGAAGTTATCAGAGCCTCCTGAATTTATCCAGGTGGAAAGAGTGTTCAGTAACTAGCCATCAGCAGAGTGGTTCTCTATGCAGCCCAGTTTTCCATTCCTGTGCAGAGCGCATCAGTTTGTTGCCATGAGCAAGGAGGTAGGGCACCAAAAGTATCCACAGACTGTAGCCAAGGAAGCCAAGCTAGGACACAGAAGAACAGGCCCTGAACTCCAGTACCTTACATGGTAAGGGTCACATTCACCCATGTGAATGGCACCTACCTGTGAGCTATCAATTAACCTTAAGACAGAGCACAGCTTCATGGTTAGGAAGGTGGGTGTCATGCACCTAGAGACTAACAGATGTCATATAAACATAAAATTACCTCTCCCTTCCCTGGCCTTGACAATGCACTGAACCCACAGGGAGTTTGCCTCACTAGTCAGACAATAAAAATATAAGATCTTTAGTAAAAGCTAGAGGCCTGAACTTCACTTTCTCCCACATGGAGAAACCTGAACTGGACATTTTTAAGAAGCCTTGCACAGTTCTTAGAGATTACCTTGCGATACATGGCATCGAGACAGACAGCATGTGACTCATCCCCTTGACCTTCTCCCAACCTGACTTGTCCCAGAGCATGTGGTGCTGGCCCTTATGCTGGAGGATGTTGAGCCATGCCCACAGAGAGTACAAACATGGACCTAGAAAAGTAACATGAGATAGAAAATGTCTGTGTCTGTCAGGCCATACTGGGAACAGCCTAGCAGAAGAGTCTACACCTGCAGCCAAGATGAAGCCTTCGGCAGAAGGTTGTTTCAGAGCCAGGACATCAGAAGGAGGAACAGGGCTCATTAACTGACTCAGTATAGTACTAACCACGTGGTCAGTGCCCCACACCATGCAGATGCTTAATAGACACACAAGAAGCACAAGCACACAAAGGAATGAGCCAGAAGCCATACTCTACCATGTGGTGAGTATTCAGCCAGGTGGAAAGAAGTCATGCTGGTCCCACGGGGCCCCTGCCTGGGGAACATATGTCTCATCTCCAGTGATGTGTTTGTCTCTTCAGGAAAAGGCTGCCCAGCTCCTACTCATTTGTTCATATGTTCATGTGTTTAGAGAACACATTTCTTTAGATATGTCTTTAGAAACAATCTGAATTGTGAAACTAATTTGACTTCAGTACTGTACCTGTCTGTAAATGCAGCCCCACCCCCTCCCAAAAGTGTGTCCTATTGAATTAGTTTTGGTTGTTGTCCTCTGGCCATAATTTGAAAAAGAGAAACCTGGAAATTTTTTTGCTTCAGAGATTTGCATCCAGGGGAAAACTTCAGTGTGAACATGACAGAAATTAGAACAAAGGTTTCTGAGGGGTCAAACATTACAGAGCCTCCGCCACCCAACAGCATAGGAAATGGCTCTAGTGATCTCCAGGGTAGCAATCTACCTTTCTTGTGTGTTTCTTTCACATGCTTTCTGTATTCCAGACAGATAAATTGGCTTATAGAGTCCCAGCCCTGAATCCAGCCCAGGCCTCAGAAGTAGTCAACATTAAGCTACAAGGAGTGCCACTCTCTGCGGCAGCTGTTCTTGAGATGTAGAGTTGTCAGGGCTCTAGCACCCATTCCACATACTCTAAAGAAACACTAGTTCCCACATCCTGGCCTTCATATGGAGGTGACTACTTGAAACTGATTCCCAGTGGAACTGATAGGACTGTTTTATTTCATTAAAAACTTGCCTTCAGCACACACCTTTTGTTTCTCAGCCCCAGCCCCAAAGAACCCTGGCTCTGGCCCCAGTGAGCCCTGATCCCAGAGAGCCCCAACCCCAGGAAGCCCTAACCCCAGCAAACACCAGCCCCAGCACACCCCAACCCTAGTGAGCCCTGGCTGTGGCCCCAGCATGCCCCCGCCCCAGCAACCCTCCCTCTCACCTCCCAGTTCTCTGTTGCTCTTTCTCTTGTTTTTCCTGGCCAAGTGGCTTCTGCATCATCAGCCAGTTGCAGGTCTGGTTAGGTCTATTCGTTATGTCCTATTTGAGACTTGTTTTAACAACACTCCCTAGTGAAATGGAGCACTCTTCAGCTTCCAACATTAACAAGGATGAGGCTTTAAGAAAGAAACTTTTGTGTGATTTTTGCACAAACAGAAATCACCAGACTAGGGGTTTCAGCCACACTCATGGGAGTGCTGCCCAAGGCACTTGTTCATGGCTTTCTTAGAATGAACAGTCTTGGCAACAGTTTATCCAGAAAATTAATGACCCAACTTTCTGTCCAAAATCATTGGCCTAATTGACCAATGATCTGATTCATTGCCATCTCTCAGGCCTGTATTCCTAATAAACCTGTACTGAGAACCTTCAAGGACATGTGCAGACTAAAACAGAAAGCCTTAAACAGAGGGATGGGGTTCCAGCCACTTATGTGCTTACAGAGCAGAAGTGTGCCCTTAAATAATAGACCTTAATTCATACAGAACAACGTAAAGATAGGTAATAATCATGCCTAAATGCTCTTTATTTGGTTTTAATTTTTAATTTTCCTTTCAGTTTATTTTGAGA